TCTATTATTAGTATAACCTGTTGGATCAACATCAATTAGCCAATCACACAGATGCATTTCTATGACTCTGCAGCAAGAATCGACAATCAGATTTCTAAATTCTAATTTTAGATCTTGGCTAACTATACGAGATTTAAAAAAGAAGGCTTTGACAAAAATTTTATTATGTAAATCAATATTTTAAATGACAAATTACCTAGAAGAGTGCCTACTTTATACAACCGTATAGTTAACTCATTTTTGTAAAAAATGCTATAAGCTGTGTTTTGGTTTGACGCACCCCATATATTAAATATTGAGCGAAAGAATTCAAATAATTTTAAAATATTATTTATTAGAAAATTACTACGAATCACCACTGGTGATTATCACCAGTGTCACGTGCCTAGTATATACAATACGCGTTATACAGAAATAGTTTATTAATAATCCATTTTTTTTTTATTCTTTTTACAGTTATCTAAGTGTCTAACTATTCCATGTTCGAATTCACAGCCCTTTACCTTTAATTACTGCATTCTTTACTTTTAATTTACTTTCGTGTATTTTCTTAGCTCTAACTGTAACTTTTACTAGCAACATGTTACGCGTCATAAAGATATTGCATTAGGAATTGACGCGATTAACTTTTCTTGCATTCCATTCCAGCATTTCACATTCGAATTCAAGCTATAGGAACTTTTTACCGTATTTCACTTCTCTTTAGTTATACCTTTCTTTGTGTAATTTTCGGTTCAACCATAACTGTTGATTTTCTTGCATGCTCAATTCTTTTGCAAAACTATACTGACCATGTTTTCTCTCCACTTAATTACAAGGCTAATGGAATATTTATTAGATTACGAAGATGACGTGGAGAACCACTTACCAGGCTTTGGTAATACTGTATTTCATTTCTCTTTAGTTATACCTTTCTTTGTGCTCTCGCGTGTTCAATTCTTTTGCAAAACCATACTAACTAACAGCCTTGTTTTCTCTCCACTTAGTTACAAGCTTAATGGAACATCTATCAGATTATAAAGACGATGTGGAGAACCACTTACCAGGTTTTGGTGATAATGATACAAATGGAAATAATACTGATGACCATGATGTAGATGTTAATGAAACAGTATTGAAAGTTGGGAATTTATTTAATGACTGGGACCATGTTCAAGCTGTTGTTGATTCGTTTGCCAAGCAAAATGGTTTTGTAGCCAATAAAAACCGTAAAGATCTTGACCCTGTTGATAAGTCTATTGTTCGTCGACGTACCTACAATTGCTGGAAAGCAGGAACTTATCAACCAAAAAAGGTCGAAGATATAAATTTGCACCGTGATAGTAGTTCAAATAAAACAAATTGCAAATGGGAAGTTGGTTTTTATCTTGGAAAGTATAAGAAAAAAGTACGGCTTACTAAACTTAACAATAAGCATACTCATAGCTGTGATGTAGCAACTATTGAATTGGCGCCAAAAAATTTATGTCTTCCACAGGAAATCCTGGATAAGATTGAGCATTATACTACAAATGGTCGTTTAGGTGCTGGTCAGCAGTACGATCTCCTTGTCAAAGAATTCCCTCAACATCATATAAAAAAAAAGAACTTGTATAATGCGATCCAGAAGTTTAGAGGTGTACGAATCCATGATGAATCTGATGCAAGCACAATGCTATCATACCTTTTACAGCAACATGATCTTGATCCTAATTATATAGTTATACCACGGCTTGAAGGGCCATCTAATGAACTTACTGGTCTCTTCTAGATGACCAGTCAACAACGCAATAATCTTTGGACAAGATTCCATGATGTTGTGATTCATGATAATACGGCAAAGACCAACAGATATGAGATGGCTCTTAGTTTGTTTGTTGGCATTGATAACAATTTTAAAACGAGAGTTATTGCCCAAGCTTTGATTAAGTATGAGACTCAGGCTGATTACAATTAGATTTTACAATGTACGTTGAAAGCAACTAATAATCTTCAGCCCAAGGTGTTGTTTACTGATGGTGATATAGCAATGAATGCTGCAGTTCATGTGTCCTATCCGCAGACACGTCATATGTTATGTATTTATCATCTTCTTGAAAATATCAAAAAGAAAGCAAAAGCCAAGCTCAAAGGTGATACGATGAAACAGTTTGTTAATGATTTTTATTGTATGCGAAACAGCTGTAGCAAAGAGCAATTTGAGCTAAAGTACTATAATATGTTGATAAAATACGAATCGTGTCGTTCATATCTCGAAAAGCTTTATAATAATCATACATCGTGGGCAAGATATTCAGTAGCTAAGGTATTTACAGCGGGATAGAATCCACTCAGCGTGTCGAATCTATCATTGGGGTTATTAAAAAGCATGTTGACTGTGGCACTTTATTAAAGGAATTGGTAAATGCTATTGATCAAGAGTTAGAAAAGGAAGCACAATATACTCGGATTGCAGATTATTATGGGTCCAATCCATCTGTTGGTCTTGTGTCTATTTATAATACTATATTTAAAGGAATTGATTCTGTGTTAGAGGCTAAGTTGGCACCTATTCCATTATCTCTACAAAGGGCTCAAATGAATCAAGCTTTATTATATCAAGCAACTCTAGTTTCAATTGACCAGGTTAAGGAATGTGATGTTAATAATAGCGATATAATTGAACGATTATATGATACACCTCAAATTCGTTTATTGGAACTTATGACTGATATACCTTCTAATGCACTTAAAGAGCTTTGAGAAGTATCATATATCGCATCAGCTTCAACACCACATTATGTCGCTATTCTTAATGACTCAACGTTGCTTTGTACTTGTATGCAAATTGTAAATCAAGGAATGTGAATTCGAACGTGGAATAGTTAGACACTTAGATAACTATAAAAAGAATAAAAAAAAAATGGATTATTAATAAACTATTTCTGTATAACGCGTATTGTATATACTAGGCATGTGACACCGGTGATAATCACCAGTGGTGATTCGTAGTAATTTTCTAAAAAAATAAATAATAATTTTTAAAATAGTTTAAATAAACCTGTTTTAAGGTAATACAAGCCTAAAAATAGTTAGTTTATTTACTATTTTATATAGTACAACATAGTAAAAATATAATACAAATAGTATAAAAATTAATTAAATTAAATTCGTTATACCTTTTTATATACTAAACTAATTTCAATGATTTTATTATCATTAGAATCAGAAAACTTAGTTCTACAACTTTTATTTATATATTAAAAGAATTTAATTAAATAAAATTTTTGCTATTTATAATTTAATAATTTTTTAGTAATTTTATAGTACATTTTTAGTAACAAATTAAATTTTAAATTTATTAATTTAATTTTGATAAGTTAACTAATTTTTAAATATACTAAAATTAAATATAAATATCAAATTATATAATAGATAAATTTAATTTGAAGTTAATAATAAAAGTTTTTTAAAATTTAACTTTTAACACTGTACTAAATTTAGTCTTTTGTACTAAATTTAGTATAGCCTACGGATACCCATTAAAGAATAAGAAATATAATAATAACATTAGTTTTAGAGATGTTAAAAAATTGTATTAAGAGAAATTATAAAAAAAATATTAGTCAATTCTTTTTAAATACAATTTGTATAGACACTATATATATAAATTTTAAAAAATTTTGTATAGTATTTAGGAAGATATTGCATTTAAAAAAATATAGTAAAAATTTATAAATATATATAATAAAGATAAAGCAAAGTTATATTATAGAGGTTTTTATAAAATATATATTTAGAATAGTTGTATTTATAGAAATCTGACTGTATTTGTTTTGTTTATATTTTATTTATTATTTATAAAAAGAAAATTAGAAAAATCTTTGAAAGATTTTATAATATGATATAGAACTGTTAATATAATACTTTATATTGAGAAACTTAAAAGTTTATATAGAAAATTTAAAAAAACTTGTATTATTTTTTTGTATTATTTTATATATAACTTAATAAGTAGTTAACAAAATATTTAAATAAAATTTTTTTTATATACTGTATATATAAATTTTACTATAAGCTTAAAAATAGAGTACTTCTATCTAAACTTTTTTATTATTAAGTAAATTATTTTTAGGCTTCTAATAAAGTTATAGAGCTTATCAAAACATATCTAACTTTAGTAAAAACATTAAAATTAGTCTAATAGTTCTTGAAAAATCTTTAAAAACTGGCTTATTTATATATAAAATTTCTTTTAAAAAAAAAAAATAATTTTTACTACAGATAATTATCATCTGTAATTTTAATATATAATAACAAAATAACAAAATAACAAAATAATTTTCTTTAAAACAAAAAATAATTGATTAATAGTTAGAGTTTAGAATAGAGTTTAGAATAAAGCAAAAGTATTGTATTACTTATAGTAAAATTTTGCAACAAATTTTTTTTTTAATGTTAAGATGACCACTTAAGGATCTGGCATATTTTATTAATTTACAGTTCAAATGCCAGGGTAACTACTATATGAGCATCTCTGATTTTGTTGTATAAACGAAAGTATTACTACCCTAATTAACTTAGTACTATCGAATATTCTCTCCAAAGAGGAATTGCTGTGAAAACCCTTTAAAACTTTAAAGCAGATACACACTATCATATAGGAGAGTTCTTTATCTTCGTAATAAATCTACTAGAATAGTTTAAGTTCTACACATGTATTATCTAGATTTTCAGTAACCTACATCTAAGCCATGGTCAAGTACTTGTAGCATTTTATCTTTGCTATTGTCACTTATTCCTTGCATTTGCAAAGTTCATCCAAATCCCAGTACCTACTTTACAGACTATCAACATTAATTTCAATACCAACTATTGGTGTACCAAACTTCTAATTCAGATAGTCTAGAAGAGACTAGTAGGTATCCTCTGATATTTCAAATAAATTCTTTTTCCTCTAATTATCTGATAATCTGGTTAGCATAGTGTTTTTGCCAAACACTCAGTCCTTGTTCAGTTTGTCTTTAGTATCTAATTCCAGATGATAGTCTTTTATATAGTACTGTTAAAAATTTGTATTACTTCTTTATTCAGAACTTCACAAATAGGCTTTTATATTCTTAATCCTTTAAATTTATTTAGCTGCTTCATCCAGGATTTATGCAACTTATACATTACATTATATTCTACAACCTACCAATATAAGTTGGTGAGACCAAGATTACAGATGCTAATCCAATCAATATGTTATACAGTTTTACCATAATACATTCTGCAAATTTGAATTTCGTTGCCAGTAGAATTCGAACTCTTGTCCTGCCACTTAGGGGTATGACAACTTACCAACTTCATTAAGTCATCACATCTTACAACAAATCTTTTTTGTTAAAGCATAAAAAGTAGTTTATAAGCAAAATTTTAAAATATAGAGTTTGGGCCCCGTAGCTTATTGGTTAAGCTCCCAAACCCCCACAGACAAGGTCAACGGTTCGAGTCGGGCTGGTGGC